TGTCAGATCAAATTTTTTTATATTATCGAATTTCGATTTTTTCGGTACTTGTACCTACGAATTTGAACCTCTAAATTTTAGGAATATCTACTCGATATTTTAAAGCTACTTTTCTCATACATCTCTATAGTTCGTTCAATTTTTAATGTTTTGTCTTTTGATATACTTCCTCTGACGAGAACGTGTCGCTCTCATTATTTATCAAAGCACATCGGATTAAGAAAAGTGGACAGAAATATCAGGCATTTAACTCGTAGAAACAGAAACATTTGTACATATTAAAGGACATTTACGTAAGCTATTTTTACAATTGATATTATTGACTATATATTTGCCGAATGTCGTTGGCACTAATTGATCCAACATCTCCATACAATTGACTCTCTAATTCTCTAACATTTATGGGAAAGTGAACGACTAGAATTATAATAATAATATAATTTATAAGGTTATTTATAAGATTTGAATTAACAATAAGAGAGGAGATAAATAATTTTGAAATCATTATAAACAGAAATTTATTTTTAAAGAGTTCTAAGTGAAAATATTCAATTCTGCAATTCGAAATGTTTACCCTTCATCGGCAATATTGGATTTCAAAGCACATTTGATTTTTTTTAAATTCTGGTAGATAAATTTAAATCTGTAAAAAACGTAAAATCCAACTTCTATGATAATAAAATTTGTGAAAGCAAAACTTCATTTTTGAAGCTTTCACGAATATATAAGATTTTTTTCAGATTTTTATACAGCCCGAAACAATAGATAAAAATCTGTACTGAAATTTAAAAACCCAGGTTACAGAAAAACTGAGGATGAAAATTTCAGAGAAATTTCAGAGAAAACATTACCAATGAAAGATCAATTTGTTAGATTTGAAAGCTCATAAATCATAATTTCAAATTATTATTCTTTTATCCTTATGTCGAAGAAGCCAGCAGAAATTTAAACGACAGATCAATTATTGATATAATAATAAATAATAAAGTTTTTGTCGAATATTGCGTTTTAATTTCGCGAGCATTCGATTTATTTCTCGTACGTCTGCGGCAATCTACATGAGATACACAATCTATTTGACAATAAGATACGTAAGTAACACATATATAAAGTCATTGGATAGATAAAAGCATCTTCGGACAGATCATTTAGCTTGAATAAAAGAAAACCTGGCATTTTACCCGGGATTCGTTCTACTTCCGCCTTTCAGTTTCCGCGGTTCCGCATCGTATTCATGCAACAAACTGCGACAATAATAAACGGCAAATGGCAAAATGCGCCGGTTCGACGCTATAAACGCTTTCCTTTTGTATGCGCTTCCCTTCTTGTTTCAGGTTGCGGATGAAGATTTACTTTATTATATCCGCCGTTTTCTCATAGTTTCGAATAAAAATCTCTCCGCAGTATTTCTCGTAAATCCGGAAAACGTTTCCCGGTTTGACCATCGGGAAATTCATAAGACAAGATATAATCTGGGCTTTATGTGGTCGACTTTTTTCAACAGAAACGGAACATCCAGTCGGGAGATTTGCGCGTCAAGATAAAAAAAAGAAGGTCTTCCATGAAAATTTGTAAGAAAAAAAGGGTCAGGCTATCACATTCAGCGCTAAAAGTACAATACAGGTCGCCCGAAAGTTTTCATGAAACTTGTGGCAAAACGCGAATGACTCGCGAAAATTCAAAGTTTCACCGTTAAAAATGACACTATGACGCTATATCGCGTTACTGATGATATCGTATTACTTATGATATCACGTTACCATCCGACTGATCTCTCGAACAAAATGCAAGGTCAACGCAAATCGCCATCAAGGCTGTGACGCGATGAAAAAACCGAGTACCATCCTGAAAATGGAGATGGCTTTGTGCATGTGTGATCAGGTGTAGTCGGGCAGTCAGATAAAGCCGCCGTCGATATATCGATGTATCTCGGGTTGATGAACCCAAACCTATTCGACTAGCGATAATGGGGGTAGTGTTCTCGTCTAGCTAAAGAGAAGGCATATAGGAGAAATATAGGGGGGAAAAGGAAATAGGATACACACAAGTCATTGAGTCATGCAACACCATGCTGATATTTCAACTGTTGAAATAATTTAAACTCGCGTTTTAAAGTCACTCCGAGTTCCATTGTACTTCTTCTTCCAATACGCTGACTGTCGAATTTTTCCGTTTTCAACGAAACAAGTTGTTAAGTTGGTCATTTTACGGCATCTGTTACAAAACTTTCGTCTCGTCTTACTTTCGAGCTTAAAATTGGATTCGTTCTTAAAGGCAGTATCGACAATACTCGAGAAAGTCGCGAGCAAGAAATTTGAAAACGCTTTTAGAAAAGTATAATTCGAGATAGAGTAAGAGATAGAAGAATGGAATAGAACGAGAAGACAGAATTCCGATTGGCAAGCGCTCGATATAGAAAAGAGGGGAATAGCCAGAATATCAAAATGAATCCCCAAATGACCTGAGGGCAAGCAGATGCGTGGGCGAAAGCACATTCCTCCCCTGCATCCTCGCCAAGCCTGCACCCTCTCTTCGCCTGCCAATTTACGTGCTAATCTGAAATCGATAAGTCCTCCGGCATGTCCTGAGACTTTGGGAACGTACGTTTCTACGAATTATTCAGTGCGCAGAGTTATTAATGTCTTGCTCAATTACAGGCGAGTTTTCACTCACTACAGGAAATCAATTAAGCACGCGTGGGGAGGCGGCGGTGTCTCTCGTCGCGTAATCGTTAACCCTCGGCTACCGGCTGGGATTACAATAGTCTCATTTTCTCATTTTGTCCGTAATTAATAATCCGTGTAACGCGTCATTAAGATATAAGCGGCTGCTCGAATCTGAAATTTTGTCTCATCATTACTTTGATTCGGGGTTTATTTTATCTATTTATTTTAATTTTTGCGTTGCACTTCCCTTCAAATTCTAATTCTGGCATAACTTCGTTATTGAATCATTGATAACTGATATCAAAATATGAAATCCAATAAGTTTATTAGTTGCTCTATCAGAAAAATAACTTTACCGCATGTAAGGGAATGAGTATCTTATGAAATCATTGTTTTGATACCAATAGCTTATAAATTAATTGTTTTATTCCACAAAAAAAACATAATTAGCTATTTTGCAAAATGAGAGTTTTAACGAAAGAATGTATGAGTATATGGGTGCGTGCATGTCTTTTTTTCAAAGACATATTTAACATGCAAGAAGTAAAGTAAAGGCTCGAGTAATATATAGGGTGCGTCAAAATCCAGACAAATTTCAATTTAAATTTTCCGTTATATTGTGCCTCCGCCAGAAGTTGTTGGCGTCTGAGAAAGTCTGATGCTTCTAGTAAACAATCATATTCTCAAAATGGCCGCGATGTTGAAACCAAGTGCGGAGTATAATCGAACAGCCGCGATCATTGAAGGCTTTCGCGCTGGGCGCTCAGCAACAGAAATAATTCGGTTCTTTGGATACCCGAGATCAATTGTTTATGACGTTGTGGCAAAATATACGGCTTTATAACAGTCTAAGATTCCAGTATGCCAGCGAGGAAGAATCACTTGAAAGAACGCACCGCGAGGACTCCAGCAGTCGTTGAAAGGGCTCAAGCGCTGATTTTGGATGACCCAGGGCAATCGTTGTGAAAATTAGCATCGATTGTTGATGTAAGCGAGCCAACAATGCGTCGAATTACCGAGGAGGACCTTCGATACAAATCATATACATTAAAAATACGACAGATGTTCTCTGAGGCTGCCAGGACAAGCCAAGTTGCTCACCTCGGCTCTCATTCTGGCCTCTCAACAGCTCAGATTTAAATCCCTTGAACTACTACGTATGTAGCGTAGTTGAAAGGGTAACAAACAAGTCTCTCATTTCCAATGCGACTTAAAGATTGCTATTGAGGCAGCATTCGTTGGCATGGACAGCGCTACATTACAGCGTGCGAAACGCTTCAGATCGAGAATAGAGGCTATCATTCAAGCTAATGGGGAATATATCGAATAATTGTACTACAGGGATCCTCCAAGTGCCACGTAAAAGGATTTTTTGTAATATTTAATTTTTCATTAAAAACATTTTGTTTAAAGAAAATGTTCGATTTGTCCGGATTTTAGTGACGCATTCTGTACAATCAAATAAATAAAAAGAAAAGTCTATAAGAGCCAATACAAGTTTCTTTGTATATATAAAATATAATATTTATTAGTAAATATATTTAACATTTGCTACATACTTTTTGAAATGCAATATATTATCGAATGTCAATGTTTCTTGGCAAAATCACTTTAAATAATTAAATAGCGCTCTATGAAGCGCAATTTGCTTTGCCAAATGTATGTATCCAATTACCTAAATCGAGCTAACGTACATTGTTGAGCATTCTTTTTTAAATATTTTTTTTCATAAAAATCACAATGTCATCATAAAATGTTGGCGAATACCAATGCTGGCAATGTACGTGATATAAATTGACTATATAACGATCCATATACGATATCACATTGGCCAATGTCATACATATATCATGCGTAGAGTTGGCTTTAAATAAACAAGAAAACAATGTGTGTCAGATTCTGGTAGTAAATGAAAAGAGGGAATATCCACTTCATTCTATATTTTTAATCATAATATATTTTGCATCCGTTGTTCCGTACTTCCATAATCGCCACATCTGCGAGATGATTTGGTATAAGGATTATTGTAACATTCGCAACACGTCGTGGAAAGTGCGTGAAGGAAAATCAGGAAAAATAGCGCTTCGGGCCAATTCTAAGAAAAGCTCGAATAAGTAATATCAGTAAGAGAAATCACTGTCTTGGAAGAAGGCCGTCATAAAATTCCGAGGAAAGAGACACTAAGCTCGCCTTTCTATGGGATTAACTCTCGCGGAATTCTCTCTCGACGGGGACTCATTTCCCTGAGAAGCTTTGTGCGGCCGATAACGAATTTCCTTGTTTTCTATTCAGATGCGGGACATTCAGCAAACACGAAGAAAGCGTGCGCGGCATTAACCCTTTTCAATTGTGAGAAAAGGAATAAAATGGTCGGCTTTTCCGGATTTCTCGAATTCTGGACTATTTAAATTTTCTTTGATTCTTAGATGCTTCGATTGCTATTTCATAGTATAGTACAACTTTGAGAAAAGTCGCATTGACGAATTGTCGAATTGTTTTCTCAAAATCATTTAGTTTATTGTGTATAATTCCGAAGCACAGTATGTTGCAAGCGACAGAGCGGCATGACGAACAAAACAAATAAAAATAAATACACTTTGTGTCCTTTGTTTCCTGCAAACGCGATATAATCGGTCAGTTTTCCCAAGTAACGAACCCGGGGGTGAGTATTACTCCGAAATAACCCCTAAATTGATTGAACGAACGGTTCCGTGGAGACGACGCAATTTTAGTCCACGTCTCCCGAGTCGCCATACGATGCCACGTCGGTAAATAAAATGGCGAAATCAGGACAATCAGTCGAAAGCGTCCAATCTCGCCTTGCGGAACAATAGATGCGATAGATGGAAATTTTAATTGAATTTTCATACCGCGCAACTCTATGCCGGTAAAAGCAGCAATCGAGCTGCTTGAATCGATCATAGTATTGTGAAACTGCAGTTTCACGATCGCGCAATATGTATTTTAAATCGTATCGTTGTATTCTGTTACACGTGACTTTTCAAGGACTAATTAAGTGCGCGGTCCGCACTTATTAAGGGATAGCTGTCAACTTTGTTTCTAATTGTGTTCTAATTTCGATGTTTAAAGATATTTAGGCCCGATTTTTCATTATCTAATTAATTTGGTGGTTAAACTTAATCTGATGTTTTACTCAATAAGCTTCATTCATGACATCTTCATTCGTTATAGATGAAGTCCATTGGAATATCAGTTTAAGTCTAATTATAAGTTAATCAACTTATGAAAAATTATCTTGTAGTTGATCTAACAATTACATTTGCGACAGAGTTGTACATTTTCAAATGAGTAAAGAAAGGTCCAATAAAAAAAGATCCGGTCGAGGCTAAATTAATGCTCAATAATATTGATCGAGAGATTTGTTAATATTGCTTTTTTAATATTTATTGATTGAATAATATTGATTGAGAGATTTGTTAATAATATATAATAATAATAATAATAAATTGCTTCAATGGTTGAATAATAATAACAAATATTACTACATGCTTCATTAGTTGAATAATAATAGTAAATATTACTACATACTTCAGTGGTTGAATGGGAAAAGACATTTCTTCGATATTCGGATAGTCGAGAGTTCTAATCTTAATTGAGGTAATATTTCTCACAAATTCTTTACAAATTTTTAAGATGTTAGTAGTATTATTATTAAATCGATGTTGAATTTAATTTGTGATATTATTTAACTTCAGTTTATGAATTTTAAAACGCTTATTGCGTTTTAAATCTGACAGTAAGCAGCGCGTAGTTTAACTGAAAGATAAAATTTACATTTAAAAATGTAAAAATGTAAAATGTAATTATCTTAGATCTATTAGCGCCCTTTCTCTACTTATACTGTTAAATCTATAGTATCAAATTTAACTTGAGATGAATCGCCACTGCTCCTACTCTCAATTACGTTATTTTATACTAAAACAATAATTAAAATTAACACTATACAATATCAATTTGACATTATACAGTGTCAATTTGACACTATATAGTGTCAAATTGATACGTTATAGTGTTAAATTTAATTATCGTTTTAGTATAAAATATCGATATATTTAATAGGAGCAGCGATGACTTACATTAGGTTAAATTTGACACTATAAATTTAAGTGTATTTGATTTATTCATATAGCGCGATCTGAAATATCTTATTATTGTACATTTTCATTCTTAACCCTCCTGATGCTAAAATCTGTAACATAGTTACTGACGTTACATCTGTAAGATGTAACTTGTGTTAATTAAAAAGCACACTAATCAATTTCAAGAAACCAAAATGATATAATTATATAAGAAAGAATAAACGATTATAAATATATTTATAAGAATAATTCAAATTTGCAAATGTAACATAAAGAAAATTTAATTGTTTGACACTTTTGATAAAGAGACTTATAAGTGAGTGAGTCCAATAGGTGCACCATTAACTCCAAATTAATAGCGATTAGAGAAGAATAGAGAATGTCAGTTTTTTTGGTTCTCCGAATAAAGTCGTGATACAACAGATCTGTGGATCTGCTGTATCACGACTTTATGCTGTGGATCTTTGCGTGAAATGCGAAATATCCTTGAGAATTGCTCATGATATCCAGTAAGCAAGAAGATACAACCTTGACTTTGAAGATCTAATCATTTTAATCCTCTGTGTTACAGTTTTCTCGTCTAATTCTTATTTCACAAATTGCATAAAAATTATTCACACCACATATGTGACTTCAAATTGTAAACAGTCGTTACATTTACAATTCCTGTGAGTTATAACTTCTCTTCAATTATTACGAATTTAATTCTGAGATAAACTACGAGATGAATAAGTCTTTAAGCCCATAGCACACAGTAAAACATAAACAGTAAACGAATTGGCCAATCACAGTAAAGATCCTAAGACAATGATTACGAAACAGTATACGAAAAAAAACATGATTTTGTTAGAATATTTGGAAAATTTAGCTATATCGGATCTAAAAATAATTTTATTGGATCAAAATTTGTTCTTTTTAAAATCCAAAATGTTGATTTGCTTACTATTTAGTTATTGTTTTGTGTGTCATAATCTTTAAACACAGAAACACAAGCAAAAATGAAATTCGGTTAATAATCATTCCTTAATAACGAATTGCGCGTTTAATTAAGCATGAATCATCAGCCCTTGAAAAGTTACGCAGACAGGTGAATTCCAAAACAGGCTCATCGATATTGTATGATAATGCAAACCCAAATTATCATCGCTCCATCGATGTTATCATGTCGATACTAACAAGTTAAGGTGTGCTTGCATAATGAAAAAAAAAATCGATCAACATTTTCGGGATATTTACCGGTTTAATTGTCATCTATTACCTCACGGTGTCAATCGGCCAAATTTGCCTTGACACAGTCTGTCAGATTATTAGATTTCTAGGAAACGATACGAGCTATATATTCAACATGTAAATAAGGCATAATGGACAATGAAAAGCTGATGAAACGCGATAAATCGCTTATACACAATATTGTCGAAATTTTCCATGTATTATACTTGGGAACATTTTAACATGTCTCTAAAAAAAAGTTCGAATATTTACGGTTTGTTAATCGTAATAGATAATTATCGTTGAAATTTTTGGAGATAGATATATGTATATTTTTAGCTAGAAATAATTATAATGAAAAGTTACTGATATAGACACGTACCTTAATATATTAATATTGCGTTAACAGTGCGGTAGGACATCCGAAAAGTGCAATGCGTCGCATGAGCACTATCACCTTACACTATCACTGCGTTGGCACTGCCATAAATGCATCATCGTACTACCATGTATCAGCAATTCCGAAACGTTCATCAATATGCATATCGAAATGCCGTGAGATCCACGTTACTACTGATATTTCTAGCACTACTATAGATAAACCGTACCGTTGGTCATAGTTCAATATGACAGGAACTATAGAGAATTGATATTATACATTTCCCCTATATATACCGACATTTCGAAATGCTATATTTTGTAGTGTTGCCGCTGCTATAGTCGCACCCTTATACCAACGTTTCTTCAACCCCCGCCCCAGCATTTTTTCGACATTCCGAGAACCAACGTCAGCCTCGCACCAATGTTTTGTTTAATCGCGAAGAACCTACTACGAGAGATGGTCTGGGCGCAAACCTGACCCCCGGGGGGCTTCGCGCGCTGATAATTGAAAGCGCACGAATCATCCCCCCGGGAACGTGCACATGTCACGATCGTAATGCATCTCGCGCCTTTTCGACGACGATGCCGGATGCTAGGAGATATGACGTGGCCCGATCGAATGGTCCACTTTTCGCATCGCTAAGCCTCCACTCCCGTGGTCGATATTTATTGCGCCTCGGCCGAGGCCGAGGCTCGCAACTGCACCGAAGAAACCGACTCGATCGTTTCGCGTCCCTCGGGCCAACTGTTAATCGGCCTCGAGGAGGAAACGCGCGTTCTCTCTCTCTCTCTCTCTCTCTCTCTCTCTCTCTCTCTCTCTCTCTCTCTCTCTCCCGCCGTTCCCTCCGCCGGCTAAAAATCGCCTCCTCCTCTCCCTACTCTCCCCGGCTCTCGATCGACCCACGCCGATTTAACGACCGCTACGAAGGAGAGACGATCGCAACACGACGTTCCTGATGATGTCGCGTCACTGACGGTCGTCCGTTTTCGAGGACTCGCTTGCCATTGCCATTGTCATCGTCTTCGTCTTGGTAGTCGTCGTCGTCATCGTGCGGTCACCGTCGTCGTCGAGCAGACAATTCACTACGGCGTTTCCGCGAAGAGGCCACTCTCGTGGATGATCGCATTATGAGAGGAAGGGAGAGCGACTGCCAGGGAGAAAAGAGAGTGCACGACGGGGTACGACACGGCGAGTATTTCCCTCCCCTATCCTACTGTCGCGTCATCCCGCTGGTTCGACGCTGCCTTCGACCATCACCTCGACCAGCACCGAGCAATGAAATGTCACAAACTCTACTACTCACTCGACGAGTCAGGGCAGTGGAGCTTCATGAATGCGTCTCGCAGTACGTATCAGGCCATCGGAGCACGGCCGAGCTCGCGGCCCTTCTTCCGCAGCTTCGAATCTAAAGCCACCGTCCGCACCGATATGCCGTAAGGCAGCACCGCGCGCGCACACACCACCAGCAGCAACACCGCCGCCGCTATCGCCGCCGCCGCCGCCGCCG